ACTAAACTGGCAAAAATCAAATGATCACCATCTCTTATTACATCCAATTCTTCTATTAAAGCTTCATCTTTGTTCAGAATTTTGGTAGGATGGATTCCAAACTTCTGATATCCCAAATCCAGCTACTCTTGAAGGGATCCTGGCAGAATCACCATCTTCCCAGCTAAGTTACCTGTCTCCGGGCAACTCACGACGACTCGACCACGGTTCTGTCGACTTGCATGATCAATGGGAGGTGCAAAAAGACCCATTCCTCCTGCACAATATGAAATAAATAATCTGTTAAAATATCCTAACAAATACTTGAAACCAAACTATGTACACACATATTAGGTAAATACGCAGTCGAGAGATAACATACTTGTTTAGGGATCAAGAACTGTCAAAAAAATAAGTAATTTGAAACCAATTCGACTCATGTTTTTTATGACATGCTTTTCTTTAGATCAATTGATGGTGATATTTTCCTAAGGTGATGGCATTCACTAGTTCTTCAGTTAAAGAGACATCATATTGCTTTAAAGTCGGTTTTACATTCATTTGCTTCACAAGCAGCAGAGATAATCCCGAAAAGTGAATTCTGGTATTTGCTTGCCCTTCGTCTTAAGCCGTTGTAGGACAAGCTGGATTCTCCACCATATGTTGATGTATCTTCTGAGGTCAAAGGAGGCGTCGTTGGCTTATTCAAGTACTTTTTGAGGTAGGGTGCATTTTGCATGTCTGATGTTCGACTCCTATTTTCGTGGGGTGTCTTCTGTTTGTTAGACTCTGGCTTGGTTTTGGTTAAAGCTTTTAACTCTTCATGATCCTTATAATCAGCTAGGGCTCGGGGTGCCCAGCCATACACATCTGGCTTGTCGATATCAGCTCCTTGTTCCAACAAGAACTTGACAATTTCAACATTTTCTTCAGAATTGCTGTGTGAACTGATGTGGTTCCCATATTACTTAGCAATGTAACATCTCCCCATATCTGATGATTTCTTTGAGTAAATCTATGTTGCCTTGCTCAACTGCGAAACAAGCATACTTTCCCACATCGGCAGAAAATAGTGTTGCCCCGTTGTCAACGAGTAACTTTTTAACAGCTTCTTGATTCCCCAATATTGCATCCCATAGAGGAACATTTCCTTCAGAATCTGCATAAAAGTATGTCAGCTTGCA